TAATAATGCTAATTGTGCCAAAGTATGCTAATCTTGCTAACTGTATAATAATGCTAATTGTGCCAAAGTATGCTAATCTTCCTAACGGTATAATAATGCTTATTTTAACATAAAACAGATAGGCGTTGAATTGATTTATTATTATGAAACAACGTAATATGCTAATTTTGCTAGCAGGATAAGCTAATAGCTGTGCTAGTATACTGCCAACGCTGAAATACTGATGTAAATCCTCACCCTAAAAACTGTTAAGGTGTAGCCTAAAGTTTTAAACTTTTAATTTTCTAAAAGTTGGTTTTAAAAAGCTTAGAATCACGCTTTTAATTTGAAATGAGAAAGCTACCAAATTAGTGACAAAAAGTCAGAGTTCAGTTACTTCTTTATAAAAATACTTAATATGTATTTATGCTAACCTTGATAGCATAATGCTAAAACATGTCTTTGAATGCTACCATGCACATTCTGAAGCGTGTTAAAGCAGTCCACGTGCTGTCAACATGGTAGTCGGGGATCGACAGTCGACCTTTTTTTCATGACGATGGATCTGACCGTTTTGACTAGTTGCACGTTGTTAGCTAGTTAGCTGTTCAAGGAACATCTGGATTGTTGTGATGCTCAAAACTGGAACATTTTATTGTATAAGCCAAACTTTCACATCATAATCCTTAGAGATTCACATAAAAAGTGTATCTGACAGATCATTTCAGTAATATTTACATATAAATCGATGCACCTTGTCTCTTACATGAGTTTGTTTATGATCACTGCCTTGTTTTTCCGTGACGATCCATCGCTGACATTTTGCTGTTTTCTCAGGACGAGCCGTACGTCATGACCAAAGGTTCTGTACGTGAAGGCTACTGCATCGACCTGATCTCAGAGCTCTCCAGAAAGTTGGGCTTCAGGTACAAGGTGCACGTGGTGAAGGACAGCAGATACGGAGCCATGGACTCCAGTGGCAACTGGAACGGTATGATTGGAGAGGTGATCAGAGGGGTAAGTCACTGATGACAAAAATAAACTCTCAGGTTCTGGATCAGTATAAAAGACTTGGTGTACATGTATAGAGGATTTTAATTTCTTCTGTTGTTCCTTTTGTACCAATGTAAACTGTTTTCGTCTACTTACCTACCTTACTGATGACGTACCATGGTATGAAAATGGTAAATTGAGAATCTGGGTTTTGTAAGTCCTATAGATCTGAACCAGATTTTGTTGTACCTCAAAACAGGAAGCTGACTTGGCTGTGGCCCCGCTGACCATGACCGCCGCAAGAGAGCAGGTTGTGGACATGACCACACCTTTTATCCAAACCGGTATCGGCTTCGTTTTACGTAAAAGCGCTGAATCGGAGGACAGCACCTTCAGCGTGCTGTCCCCGTTCTCAACCGACGCCTGGATCGGCGTTCTCATCGCGTTCCTGCTGACCAGTCTCTGTATGTTCCTGGTGGGCAGGTGAGTGACACGGGAGTGCTCTGTCTGGTGGTTCTCACAGAAACATTTTATGTTTGGTTAACTTAATGTAAAAAAAGCCCTGAGACGCAAAAATAGGAGGAGTTGTGAACGCAGTACTCTGAGGGTTTGTCTCAAATGTGCATTTGATCCAAAATATAACAAGAAATAAACTCTGCCACCGAAACCTGCAAGTTTACAAATATTAAGAATTAGCCGCAGAATTGTTACTTTAAAGTCGTCAAGAGGTTTGACCTCTGTGATCCTAAGGGCTATGTTGTTGGGGGCATCGGCTTCTGGGTCAGGGTCTCCCAGCTCTAACAGGCCTCAGGAGAGGGGTCAGACCAAGAGACCTCAGGGGAGGTGTCCAACTAAGAGTGATTCCAAAAACCAGCAAGACACCCCTCCTGGACCTCAACTGGGTTAAGCCTAAAAGAGGGCCAGGATGCCACCTCCATATCAGCCCACCACCTCACAGTGAGGACTCTTGAGGTCAGTAGACCAGGCGGCTGGGGGGGTTTCCTGGCCATGCAGATTCCTGGTGGCATAAAGCCAGCTCCGTCTCTGCATCTCTTCTGGGAGCTCGGAGTAGAGCTGCTGCTACTTCGTATCAAATGGTTGAGATGGTTCAGACCTCTGATGCTTCCTGGACGCCTTTCTGTGGAGGTTTTCTAGACACGTCCCACTGGGAAGAGACCCTGAGCTGAACCAGAACTCTCTGCAGCCATTATATATCCTCTCTGGTCTGGGAACACCTGGGGGTCCCTCAGGAGGAGCTGGAGAGTGTCTCTGAGGAGAAGGTGATCTGGGTTTCTCTCCTGGACCTGTTACTTCTGTGACCGGACCACAGATAAGAGATAGAAGATGGAGATCCCAGATACTGTCTCCTCCTGCAGGATCTCCTGGTTTCCTCTTTCCCTCCTCAGAGACGAGCACAAACTGCTCTCAGACGAGCACGTTTTCCACAGGGCTGCTCATGAGTCTTGTGTGGTTCTTCCCATCAGGATCAGCCCGACTGAGTGGGTCGAGCCAGAAAAGGACGAGCGCAGCTTCACTTTGCTGCACAGCTTCTGGTACACCACCGGAGCGCTCACCCTGCAAGGTAAGGTCTGAAAGAAGTCCAGACACATGCTCTTCTTTCTGGTTGACTCCATGTTTGTTGTTCCTTTACTTAAAAGGATGTAGGAAACTTTATTCTTGGATCAGACAATACTTTGAAGTCCAGAGTGTAGGCGCCTGATTTGTCTTTGTTTCCCCCGCCTCCCCCAGGTGCAGGTCCTCATCCCAAAGCCCTGTCCGGACGTGTTGTCAGCGCCATCTGGTGGATGTTTGCTGTCCTGCTGCTCGCCTGCTACTTTGCCAACTTTAATTCGGTGCTGCAGTCTGAGCACAAACACATCTCCATCTCGAGCTTCGAGGACCTGGCCAACCAGGACGTGATCAATTACGGCACGCTCCAGTCTGGATCCACCATGCTCTTCTTCAAGGCACGAATAATCAGGAGCTTCGAGCGGTGCTTCCGACGTTCTGAACAAAATCAGCTCAAAGTGTTTTTGTTTTTGGTGCCAGAACTCCAACAACCCCGTGTACCGGCGCCTCTACCAGCACATGGAGCGGAAGAAGAGCTTCGTGCCCTCCATGTCCGAGGGCATCCGGCGCGTCCAGGAGGGAAACTTCGCCTTCATCGGTGAAGCCGTGTCCTTGGACCTGGCGGTGGCTCGTCACTGCGAGCTGACCCGCGCTCCCGAAACCATCTCCATGAGGTCCTACAGCATCGCAGCACCTCTGGGTGAGGAGCTCACACACGTCATCACAAAACGGAGTGCCGCTTACACTTTTCATCACTCCAGCTTCAAGGCCAAGGTCACAAATCAAGGTCAAAGGTTATACAAGGTCCTGCATTGCGTTGTTTGGGTGTGTTATTTGAGTCTACATTAACAACTTGAGTCACACAAGTGGGATTAAAAATAAAACATAAATGAGATGCAGTGAAATCAAATTAAAAAAAGTCGGTGTCATATTTGTCCAGTCTAGTTAAAACCAGTTAAGGTCCAGTCTAGTTAAAACCAGTTAAGGTGAACTTTTGGTTCAGACATGGAGACTGTTTGTTCGCTGATGTGGAGCGAAGAGGGGAATCAGAGCTACATCGGTCCAGTTTGTTTCAGGAAATATTAGTTTTAATAGTTTCCTCAAATTATTGGCGTGACTGAAGGTTAATATTTGGGGGGCAAGGCCACCATTGGCCACCCCCTGGCTCCTCCGTCGCTCCTGCTCTGCCTCGG